TGCCACTAGGAGGAAGGTGAGCACCCCGCACTATCTTTACATACCTGGACAGCCGTGAGAGCCGGGGGCACCATAGTCATCACCTCTCACACACACTAACAACCCTGCTTTAAATTTATTATTAAATATATCAATGAACATAAAAAGTAGCATCAATAAACTTTCATTAATACTGTAAGTAACACAAGAATAATATATCTGATTTTTTTGACAGACTTTCCTCTTTTATCGGTGCTTTGTGAACCTTACAATTTCTCGCTGAAAACAAAATTTTTGTGGAATGGATCAAAGACACTGTGGAACAAAGACAGCCTAACAATTGACCTGTCCAATAAGCTCCGCCCTCCCGTGGTTTCCTTAGTAACCATTACACATAACTGCAGCAGGTTGGCTACTGGCTCTTAACTGAATATGCTGCCACACTGCCCAAATTCAAAGCCTTTTTTTTATAATTTCAAACACGATGATAAATTTTCCATCAAAAACTATACTTTCGACTCACAACTGATAAATATTAAACACGAAAATAAAATAAAAATGGCGGGGAATCTGTAGGTGTTGCGGCGCGAGTCACTTAGGAACCAGCAACCAATCAAGTGGGTGAAGCTGCGTGATAGGTCAATTACCAACACTCCTCAGGAAAAACAAACCCAAACAATTACTAAAACAAGAACCACAACCACCAGTCAGTATAGAACCACAACCACCAGTCAGTATAGAAGAACCAATAGACACACACAGGAACCAGTAGACAGGATATACCAGTAGTAGGGTCTCTGGTTGTCTGTCTGGCTGGGTGTCTGTCTGTCTAGCTGGGGAGGGATATGCTTGTGGCTGTCTTCTCCGGAGCACCACACAAACAAACAAAACAAAACAAAACAACACACACACACACACACACACAAACACACACACACACACACACTGGCGCCACTACTAAACCACAACACATTATCCAGCTTCTTATATACGGGGTCATACTGGTCACAACTAGGATGGCCATGAGTGATATGAATGTGTATCTGACCCATCCGATATATCGTGGGCCATCCGATATATTGTGGGCCATCCGATATATCGTGGGTCATCCGATATATCGTGGGCCATCCGATATATCGTGGGTCATCCGATATACTGTGGGCCATCCGATATATTCCGGTGACGTGTGGAAGCCAGTGTCAAGGGAAGGAGAAGGCCTTACTGGGAGAGGGAGGAGGAGGAGGAAGAGAAAGAGGGAGAAGGAGGAAACAAAGAAGGAGGAGGTGGAGGAGGAGTCCAATACAGTAATAGGTGCGGGAGGTGGTGGAGGAGGAGTCCAATACTGTAATAGGTGCGGGAGGAAGGGCTGACTCGGGTCATCCTTCACGCCACATTATCTCCTTTGTACCTCCCTCACCACTGTCTCCTTCCCTCCGTCCCTCCCTCACTACAGGCAGACAAGAGTACTCCCTCCCTCCCACCTACACTACTGCCTCCCTCCCTCCTATACTACTGCCTCCCTCCCACCCTCCCACCTACACTACTGCCTCCCTCCCTCCCACCTGCCCTACTGTCACTTTCCCTTCCACACAACCCTCGTCTCTAATGGCACCACACAGGCAGCCTCTCCCTGCACCAACTTAACTCACTCTCCCTTCTAACCAGCACTCTGAGACATCTATCCTTCACTCCTCCTCTTCCTCCCTCTTCTCCTTCCTTCCCCATCCTACTCCTTTTCCTTAACCTCCCTCCCATCAAAGCAGCTGGTGGTTGAGTATGGTAATGTCGAGAAGTTGACATGACTTGGCACTCTCTCTCTCTCTCTCTCTCTCTCTCTCTCTCTCTCTCTCTCTCTCTCGTATAAAAACTCTAAACACACTATCTCACTCACGCTCATTCACACACCCACACAAATTCTCCCTATCACACACACACACACACACACACGTAATTACTGTCCCGTCTGTCTCTCGGCCCAGAACTCAGCCTCGGGCAATCATCACTTAAGCCATCAATTAAGCGAGTCGGTAATTAACGCCAGAGTCATAAGTGGAAACTACAAGGTGACATTACTTACCTCGAGTCAGATCAGGTCAGGTCAGGTCACTGATATATACAGGTAGGTCACTGATATATACAGGTAGGTCACTGATATATACAGGTAGGTTACTGATATATACAGGTAGGTCACTGATATATACAGGTAGGTTACTGATATATACAGGATAGGTCACTGATATATACAGGTAGGTCACTGATTCTTACCTTGTCCTTAACTATGGGTCAATGTGATAAGCGTTTTATATAACTCGCACCTAAATTAATAAACTTTTGTCATGGTAACAGTTCGTGTAATGATGCAACACATCCCTAACGCGCGTCAAACATCCCTCACATGCGTCAAACATCCACCAGTCAGGAAGGTGAGGTAAGGTGAGCACTGGGCCAAACGAAGGTCCTGGTAGTTTGTTATCATTAAACAAGGTCAGTGTGAGGCTCGTGCTACATGATACACACAATTAGCCTAATGGCTGACACATGTTAACAACTATACAATATATTTATCCACACGTGGTAAAATTGTGTACATTCTCTATTTCTATTTGGTGATACATATGGATTTATTTATATAAACCTATCAAAAGCTGTATGTATTTATCTAAACCTATCAAAATATATAAATTCCATTATCTAAACTCATTCAAAAATATAGATATTTGTAGATTTGAATTCCCATAAACAGATTTATAGTTATGTAATCTATCCTATCTAAAAATATATATAAAATTGAGTAAAAAAAAATGTCAAATTCTGTTGTTATATTCGACGAAGTGTAGGGTGGAGCGAGTGACGGCTGGGTGAATACACAAGAGTCTACAGATTATTATTATTATTTCTTTAATATTTAAGTGAAATAGAAAAACAAAATAGTTAACCCCCTAAAAAAACCCATTACATTATTCATTTCCAGTGATTAGAAAACTTTTCCCAAACACAATATTATCGTATTATTTCGAGTCTTTTTTACTCTCAAGTACATTTCCTATTTTATTTTTTGTACAAGTTTCTCCTTTGCATTAAATATATGTTTTTTTTATTTCTCTTCTTCCTCCTATTACTCCATTTCTTTTTTCCTCTTCCTCTTCCACCTCTTCCTCCTCCTACTCTACTTCTTTTTTCCTCCTCCTCTTCCTCAACTTCTTTTTTCCTCCCCCTCTTCCACCTCTTCCTCTACTTCTTTTTTTCCTCCTTCTCTTCCACTTCCTCCTCCTCCTCCTACTGATCCACTTTACTCATTTCTCCCTCCTTCTACTTCCCCTTCTTCCTCCTCCTTTCTTCTCAACTTGAAACTCTGCTGACATGAACGAATTAGTGTAAGATGACCCCACACCCCTCCATCCTGACCCCCACAGACATCCATCCTGACCCCCACACCCCTCCATCCTGACCCCCACACCCTTCCATCCTGACCCCCACACCTTTCCATCCTGACCCCCCACACCCTTCCATCCTGACCCCCCACACCCCTCCATCCTGACCCCCACACCCCTCCATCCTGACCCCACACCCTTCCATCCTGACCCCCACCCCTCCATCCTGACCCCCACCTCCATCCTGACCCCCACACCCTTCCATTCTGACCCCCCACCCCTCCATCCTGACCCCACACCCCTCCATCCTGACCCACACACCTTTCCATCCTGACCCACACACCTTCCATCCTGACCCCCACACACCCTTCCATCCTGACCCGCACACCCTCCTTCCTCACCCCCCACAGTTATATCACAAGCTGTTGGAATTAATACCACACACACACACACACACACACACGACGAGCTAAAGGGTTAAACCAACACCCACCTGAAAAAAAATGCTAAAATATATGCCGCAACCTTTTGTTTGCAGGCTGAGCTATAGAGGTGGGGAGGGGGGAAGGATGTCGAAAGCTCTCCCCGTCCACCCCTTCCCATCACTCAATTCTCATCTCACCCACCCCACACCTACTCAACCTCAACCTACCCACCCCACCCTCAACCTACCCACCCCATCCTCACCCCTATAGAAGTGTTCCCTAGGTAGTATAGAGATAAAAAAACACACACACACACAACAATATCTCTCTACAACATGGGTAGTTTGTGTTGTTTCACGCAGGGATGTATGGTATTTCAGAAAACAAACACACAAATCCTAACTTTGGCAAATATTTAACCATTAACACAATATATACAAATGTGTCCTTGTTAGAAATAAAAAACCTATTGAGGGTTTTTACTGACCCATATACACTTAAAACATCAAATCAAAACCAACATGAAAGAAAAATTGCAAGCGGCTGCCTACAATTTTTTTTTTCATTTTTTTTTTCAGGAACATTGAGGCATTTTTCCCCGGGATGAAAACCGCAGTACGAGAGGGGGGATTTTACGCCGTATTTAAAGGAGAAACACCCAGGTCCTTCGTCCCCTCAAGCGGATCCTGACAGCTTCCTACACAACTACACTTTCTAGATATATGACAGTGATCCACCATATACGACAGTGATCCACCATATATGAAAGTGATCCACCATATACGACAGTGATCCACCATATATGACAGTGATCCACCATATACGACAGTGATCCACCATATATGACAGTGATCCACCATATACGACAGTGATCCACCATATACGACAGTGATCCACCATATATGACAGTGACCCAACATATACGACAGTGATCCACCATATATGGCAGTGATCCACCATATACGACAGTGATCCACCATATATGACAGTGATCCACCATATATGAACCACAAACTCACCAAACACCCGAGAGAGGAAAGTCTGTGTTACTATTGACCCAAACACGTCTGATTACTGAACCTCTATTACTCCATATTAATAGTCTAATGATGCTATTTTTTGGCCCCTCTAGTTCATCATGATACAACTATTACTTGAGTCCCTTCCTCCTTCGTTCCCTCCCACCCTCCCTCACCGTGAGCCATAAACAAAGCGTCACACTCACCCTAAACTTCTCCTTGAGCACGGAGATGTCGGCACCCTCAGGTGGGCAGGGCACGTTGTAGAACTCTCCCTCGTCCTCCGTCAGGAACTTGAACCAGCCCTCCACGGGGGACTTGATGATCTCGGTGATGCCGAAGGACATGGAGCCCATGAAGTCATTACGGGAAGTACGATCCCAATCCCAGCACTCCACCAGCAGGCGGCGGTCCTTGTCCTCAGGCTTCAACTCGCTGAGGGGCACACACACACACTCCTCTTAATACTCTATATTAATGCTATCATAACACAGTATGTCAATATAACACAATATAATACACTATAATATATTATTTACTATAATACCTATAAAATTATATTATATAACATAGTACAATGATGCAATACAATATAACTATATAATAATTAATTCTCTATATGATATACATATATATATATATATATAATGAAATATAAATAATAGTAATCCACAAGAACAGCGTGTCGCAGGACATGGATGCTCCGATTTGCACATTGACCGCAAAAAGTGAACAAAATGGAGGTCACAGTGACCTACTTTGGCTCTGATGTTGAAGTACCCAGCAAGCTGCGTGTGTGTGTGAAGGTTCATGATTGTATGGAGAATAGAATTTGAGAACAAGTCGCCCCCTACGTGAGTACGGAGGGACAGGGATAACACTATATATGCCGCTTCCACACTCCGCGGCGGGGCATAAAAATATATAATACAGTATAAATCAAACTAACAGTACAGGGGAACTAGCAATAGACGATAATAAACAAGGAACCATAAACTGGGTTGTGTCATTAAGTTAAGCCATTACTCTTCAACCATTAAAGTACACTACAGTACAGGATATTACTCAAATAATAATAACAATAACAACAATAAATTGAATAATAATAAATATAATAAGAGTTTTGAAAATAATAACAATAATAATAACAATAAAAAATAATACTAATGATAATACAGTAATAATAATAATAATAATAATAATAATAATAATAATAATAATAATAATAATAATAATAATAATAATAAATGACAACAACAATGCTTCATATTTACTAATTATTAAGTTCATATTAAAATGGAAAGGATATGAGAGAACAGCAGGGTGAGAAAACAACACCAGGGTGAGAAAACAACAGCAGTGTAAGAGAACAACAGCAGGGTGAGAGAACAACAGCAGTGTGAGAGAACAACAGCAGGGTGAGAGAACAACAGGAGGGCGAGAGAACAACAGGAGGGTGAGAGAACAACAGGAGGGTGAGAGAACAACAGGAGGGTGAGAGAACAACAGGAGGGTGAGAGAAACAGGAGGGTGAGAAAACAACAGGAGGGTGAGAAAACAACAGGAGGGTGAAGAGAACAACAGCAGTGTGAGAGAACAACAGCAGGGTGAGAGAACAACAGGAGGGCGAGAGGAGCAACAGGAGGGTGAGAGGAACAACAGGAGGGTGAGAGAGACAACAGGAGGGTGAGAGAGCAACAGGTGAAGAACAACAGGAGGGTGAGAAAACAACAGGAGGGTGAGAAAACAACAGGAGGGTGAGAGAACAACAGCAGTGTGAGAGAACAACAGCAGGGTGAGAGAACAACAGCAGTGTGAGAGAACAACAGCAGGGTGAGAGAACAACAGGAGGGTGAGAAAACAACAGGAGGGTGAGAAAACAACAGCAGTGTGAGAGAACAACAGCAGTGTGAGAGAACAACAGGAGGGTGAGAAAACAACAGCAGTGTGAGAGACAGCAGCAGGGTGAGAGAACAACAGGAGAATGAGAGAGAACAACAGCAGGGTGAGAGAACAACAGGAGGGTGAGAGAACAACAGTGGGTGAGAGCAACAGTAGGGTGAGAGAACAACAGCAGGAGTGAGAGATAAGAGACAGTGGGAGAATAGACAGTGGACAGTGGGAGAGAAGAGACAGTGAGAGATAGAAGACAGTGAGAGATAAGAGACAGTGAGAGATAGAAGACAGTGAAAGACAAGAGACAGTGAGAGATAAGAGACAGTGAGAGATAGAAGACAGTGAGAGATAAGAGACAGTGAGAGATTGAAGACAGTGAGAGATAAGAGACAGTGAGAGATAAGGAACAGTGGGAGATAAGAGACAGTGAGAGACAAGAGACAGTGAGAGATAGACAGTGAGAGATAAGAGACAGTGTATGATAAGAGACAGTGAGAGATAAGGGACAGTGAGAGATAAGAGACAGTGAGAGACAAGAGACAGTGAGATAAGATACAGTGAGAGATAAGAGACAGTGAGAGATAAGAGACAGTGTGATAAGATACAGTGAGAGATAAGAGACAGTGAGAGATAAGAGACAGTGTATGATAAGATACAGTGAGAGATAAGGAACAGTGAGAGATAAGAGACAGTGGGAGATAAGAGACAGTGAAAGATAGAGACAGTGAGAGATAAGAGACAATGCGAGATAAGAGACAGTGGGAGACAAGAAAAAGGGAGAGATAAGAGAGTGAGATAAAAGACATTGGTGGTGGTGGTGTGGTGAGCTGAGACAGACAAGAGAGATAGTGTACAGTTCACGTGTTAATATACTGTAGTTATAGCGGTGAGCGAAAGGTGGTACACATGAATACACACACAAACACGGCACTGTCTTATACATGTACGTGTGCGCGAGCTGACAGTCAAGTATACAACCGCGCGCGCGCACGCACGCACGCACGCACAAACACACACACACACACACATACCACGTTAGATTAAGTTAGGTTTGACGGAACTGAGTTAGGTTAATTTAACACTGATTTGGTTTGGGTTAGGTTAGGGATGACACCGTTAACTGAATTATGTTATTAATCTCCCAAAATAATAATAATAATAATAATAATGATAATAATAATAATAATAATAATAATAATAATAATAATAATAATATTAATAAAATAATAATAATAATATTAATAAAATAATAATAATAATAATATTAATAAAATAATAATAATAATAATAATAATAATAATAATAATAATAATAATAATAAAAATAATAAACAAGTATGATGTAACCACAAAAATTACAATAATAATCTTTATCATTTGTATATAATAATAAATACAATATCACCTTGTAAATAATTACGATATAAATATATGAGTAAAACAAATTACAACAAAAGTTAATAAAAAAATAAAGAAATAGAAAATGGAATAAAATAACATTATAACAATAGAATGAAAAAAAATCAGTAAATAAAAACAAACGCACAATAAGTATACGTAATTATAATAAAAAATAAATTAACATTATATAAAATTCTTAAAAAAACAAAACACGTAAAAAGTTAATAAAAAACAATAAAAATCCGATAAAATGATAAATGAAAACACGTAAAAAAAAGAAGAAAAAAAAACGATAAAATTAAAAATAAAAAACAAGTAAAAATTATCTTGTAAAATAACAATAAAAACGATTAAAAATTACCAAAAATAATGAATGTATAAAAAATCTCAAATTAATTAAAGAGATTACCGTGAGTCGGGCCCCGGGGTCAGTGGTGGACGAGTTCAATATACAGGATGAACACCATACACTTGCTACACTATGGTGGGATAAAAAACTACTTTATCTATGGCATGGGGTACAGGGAGCTGATGGATGGGGGAGAGAAATGGCTAGAATGATAACTAGTAGAGAGGAGGAAGAGGAGGAGGAGGAAGGACGAGAAGGTATATGGTGGAAGGAAGAGGAGAAGGAATGAGGAAGCAGACAGAGGAAGGACGTAAAAGTATAAGGTAAGAGGAAGAGGATAAGGAAGGAGGAGGCAGTCGGAGGAAGGACGAGAAGGTAAAGGGGGGAAGGAAAAGGAAGAGACACCAAGGAGGAGGAGAAGGCCCAAGGAGGAAAGACGGGGAAGAACCAGGAGGAAGAATGAGGAGGAACCAGGAGTAGGAGGAGGAGGAGGAAGAGACAAAAAGAAGAAGGATTAGGAACGACGGCGAGGAGAAAGCAAAGAGAAGATGGAGGAGGCACAAGGATAAGGAGGAACAAGGAGGGGAGAAGCAAAAGGAGAAAGGGACAAGGAGGAGGAGGAGGAGGAGGAGGAAGAGTAACAAGGAGGAAGGATAAGGGGGAAGAGGTTAAAGAGAAAGGGACAAGGAGAAAATGGAGGAGTAGGAGGAAGAGGCCCAAGGAAGAAGGATAAGGAGGCACATGGAGGAAGGATGAGGAGGCACATGGAGGAAGGATAAGGAGGCACATGGAGGAAGGATAAGGAGGAACAAGTAGGAGACGGAGGAACAATGAACAAGGAGTAAGAGGAAGAGGAGGAGGGAACATGGAGGAAGAAAAAGGAAGATAAAGTGGGAGGAAGAGGAGGGAACAAGGAGTAGGAGGAAGAGGAGGGAACAAGGAGTAGGAGGAAGAGGAGGGAACAAGGAGTAGGAAGGGAGGAGGAGGAGGAGGAGGAGGAGGGAGGAGGAGGAGGAGGAGGAGGAGGAAGGAGTAGGGGAAGAAGAAGAAGAAGAGGAGGAGGAGGAGGAGGAGGAGGATGAAGGAACAAGGAGGAAGAGAAAGGGGAGGAAGAGGAAGGAACAAGGAGGAGCAACAATACTCACCATGTCAGTGTCTCATTCCACACAGGGTTAAGCGTGGCCTTGATTGTCTTGGTCTTCATCTTCATGTTGTCAGTGCCAGGGATCAGCTTCATCTTGATGTAGGGGTCAGACAAGCCGTTGGGATCCATGGGAATGAGGTTCTTGGCTCCACGGACTGTACGAGGGGAGAGAACAATAACAGAATCAACTCGAGGATGTAGGAGGGGAAATAACAATCAATACAAGGATGTAAGAGGAGATAAAATAACATCGCAATCACCCTGAGAATTGTAAGATGCTGTAAAGAAAATAACATTAAGAAAAATCACCTCCAGATCTCTCTCTCTCTCTCTCTCTCTCGTCCTTCCCTCTGATGTTTCAATTTATCTTTCCTCCGCTCTCCTCATCATTCCTTCTCATCTCTCACTTCTCTTATCTCTCCCTCTCATCTCTTGCTTCGCTCATCTCTCCCTCTCAGACCACCCCCCCCACCCCCTCTCTCCCTGGCTGCATAATCACAGGAAAATGACTCAGGAAAAAAATCTGGTCCTGAGAGAGAGAGAGAGAGAGAGAGAGAGAGGGGAATAATTGGGTAAGGAAATGTATCGTCCTGTTCCTCTTCCCCCTTATCGTCCTCTTCCTATTTTTCTTCTTCCTCCTACACCTCATCCAATTCCTCTTCCTCCTTCTATCCCTCTTCCTCCTCCTACACCTCATCCAATTCCTCTTCCTCCTATTACTCTTCGTCCTCCTACACCTCCTCCTATTCCTCTTCCTCCTTCTATCCCTCTTCCTCCTCCTACACCTCCTTCTATTCCCCTTCCTCCTCTTACACCTCTTTTTCCTCCTCCTAGATTACCTTAAAGCTCGGGAAACTCGGCAATAAAACATAATAATAATAAACCATGAAAAAATAACCCGGCATAGAATGGAATAACTATCACACGTTCCAAGAAACTGTGACAAAGAAGCTCAACCCAGAGAAATAAAATGGGCTTCCTCGGGCGTAGTTTAATCTCGGCGTAGTTTAATCTCAGCGTAGTTTAATCTCAGAGCTAGGAAAACACGCCAGAGACTCGGGGAAAAAAAGGATAATGACAAAGAAGGAGAGAGGAGGCAAAACAGAAAATTAACCTAACCTAATACGCTGAAGTAAGTACAGTCGTGTCTAAAGAATTTGCGGACATTTTATCCCAGGAGAATTAAATGTAAACATACGCATAAGGAGGGCCAGTGTAACGACCGCTTCAGGGGGTGGCTGTGAGTCTCTCTCTCTCTCTCTCTCACCACGCCCATCTTCCCTCCATTATTGATGTTGTCATACCATCCTCTCTCCTTTAATCACCTTCTCTCTTTCTCCCTCTTTCTAAAACCTCTCCTTTACGCCTCCCTCTCACTTCCCTCTTCCTCAACGCATCTCTCCCTCAATGTCTTTCTCCCTCAAATTTTTCTCTCCCTCTCACTTCTCTTTTCGTCTTGCTTCCTCCCTTCTTCAACACCTCTCTCCCGCAATGTCTTTCTCCCTCTCACTTTTCTCTCTCTCTCTCACTTCTCTCCCCCATTCGCTTCTCTCTCCCTCTTACTTCTCGCCCTATCTCACTTCCCCTCTCACTATCTCCTCCATATGACGTCATTAAGGTTATGAGTGGTGTACGCATGACCTGCCTAAAGCGGGTGTTAGATTAGGGTCAGGTCAGGTCAGGTCACGTCAGACTAAGGGTAGGTTAGGTTCGATCAGAGTAGGGGTAGGTTAGGTTAGGTCAAGCTAGAAGGTAGGTTAGGTTAGGTCAAGCTAGTGGTAGTTTAGGATAGGCCAAGCTAAGGGTAGGTTAGGCTAAGTCAGGTTAGGGGTAGGTTAGGATAGGTCAAGCTAAGGGTAGGTTAGGTTAAGTCAGGCGAGAGGGTAAGTTAGGTTAAGTCAGACTAAGGGTAGGTTAGGTTAAGTCAGGCTAGGAGGTAGGTTAGTTTAGGTCAGACTAAGGGTAGGTTAGGTCAGGCTAGGAGGTAGGTTAGTTTAGGTCAGACTAAGGGTAGGTTAGGTCAGGCTAGGAGGTATGTTAGGTTAGGTCAGACTAGGGGTAGGTTAGGTTAGGTCAGACTAGGGGTAGGTTAGGTTAGGTAACAATTACGCAGGTTTGACCCACTATGTATATCCGTGAACGAAATCAGCACCCACTATGAATACCCCGTCTCTTACCCATGTATTAAAGCAGCACCCACTATGTATACCCCGTCTCTTACCCATGTATTAAAGCAGCACCCACTATGTATACCCCGTCTCTTACCCATGTATTAAAGCAGCACCCACTATGTATACCCCGTCTCTTACCCATGTATTAAAGCAGCACCCACTATGTATACCCCGTCTCTTACCCATGTATTAAAGCAGCACCCACTATGTATACCCCGACTCCTGCCACCCTAATTGAAAGCTACTCGGTTATGCTTCAGCAGATCACCAACTCATTACAGTGATGATGAGGGAAGCTTAGTGGCGCTCCTGTCACTGGAGACTCAACAACACAAGCTAGCGGTGTTTTGGATGTCTTTTATGAGCGACCATTAAGGAATTTTTTATTTATTTATTTATTTTTTAAAGGTTTAGGTGTAATGAAGAACAGGATGACGACACTGCTCCCCGCCCCCGACAACTTCATATTATACTCTTCTTCTTCGTCTTCTCGAAAACAATTAACAATGAATCGCCTCCCTCTATTCTGGGTCAATTAATCTGAATCCCGGCTTCTTGTCCCTTGATGCAATACGCCTTTTAGGGATTTTATGATGTCAGGGGTCAGAAGTCACACTCATGAGATTACATATACCCTTATGGACACTGCTACACGCTGTTATGTACACTCAGGTCCAGTGTTACATACCGCCACTGTACACTACTGGTAACGTAACAGCCAAAATGTACACTTCGTCAACACCTCAACTCACTAAGACCTAATGTTTCGTGTTGTTGAAAAGTTTGTTATTATAATATTCAGTTCAATGTAACGTCCCTAATTTACTTTCATTCCTCTCCCCCATAGACTGAGTGTGTGACAGTCAACACATAGTTCCTCCCATCACCCCTGGCCTCCAACCACCCCTGGCCTCCAACCACCCTTGGCCTCCAACCACCCCTGGCCTCCAACCACCCCCGGCCCACCTTCACATTCCTCCTCCTATCCATTACTCTTCCTTCCTCAGCTTAATTCCCAATGTGTTTACTCAAGCTTCCATCGCTGTAAAATCCTCTTTGACATCTTAACTTGCGGGGGAAAAAGAATATTATCCTCCACATGGAAGATAAAATACAGCGGGCAATTATTAGGCCATTACTGAACCCTAACTTTTAAAGGTTCGTCTTATTGTGTGTTCCTCCTCCTCCTTCATGACCCGTCCTTGATGTCTTGATTCACGGACAAGTTTTTTTTTTTTACAATACAACCATGGCAGTTCTCTCTCGTCAGGTATTACGGTGTTATGAGCACACGGCAAGACAACTTATCTACTGACCTCGACAAAATCATTGTACACCACCTGTGAATTAAGGTCACTGCGTCATGGGTCTGTGTGTCACTTCTGTCATGAGTCTAGGTTAGATTAGGTTAGGTTAGGCTGGGTTAAGTGAGGTAAAGGGTGTCACTGTTATTCATGTCACTTGTCATGGGTGTCACTTGTGTTACGTGTGTCGTCTTCACAATTTGGTACAAAACATATAGTAGGGATATTAAAATAACGCAAGAGCGGTAACAGGTTAGAACTGTCCCAGCTTAGAGGGTAGTCTGAACCCGGGTCCTGTGATGGGCTGAGTAGAACCTTAAAAGCCTCGTTTTCACATAAAAAAATCTTCGTTAAGACTCATATTGACTGTGTTTTCATTCAGTCGCAATCATCATAATTTACAATAGCTGATTGGCTGCTGGTTGCTATCCCACCACTCACTTAGCAACCAGCAACCAATCATTAACTAGATATTATGACCGTTGCTATGAACGCCAAAAGTGTCTTACTTAGTTCTCCCTGGACATGTTTTTCACATCTCTGGTTTAAGTGAAGATGATGAACTAAAAGCATCTGGTTTATTTCTTAAATTTTCCATGTACACGACCAGTAGTACACGACCCAGTATGTTGCTTGTGTCTGGAACATTTAGGAATACCCGTACAAGAAGAATTTTTTGTTCTCTCTCTCCTTTGTTCATCGCTCAAATTTGTTTAATCTCTCTCTCTCTCTCTCTCTCTCTCTCTCTCTCTCTCTCTCTCTCTCTCGTTATAAGTTAAATTTGTTTGCACAGGTTGGATCCAAATCAAGCTCAGACATGTCGTAATCAGCTGATAATTGTTTACAAACACACGGGCTCATCTGAACCTCCTGAGACGAGGAATACTAAATTATTTTCTACATATTTCACTTTAAGATTAGCCAACCACCCGAATGCTAACCTAACCTAATTTAACGTTAACCTAACCTAACCTAACTACTCTAATGCTAACCTAACCTAACTCACCCACATAAGGTCAGAGTGTTTCATCATCAGGTGAGATAAGCTTGGGTGACTAATCTTCAGGTGATCTACATTTAATCATTAATTAATTACCTCGTTGAATATATTACTTGTTAATGATTTAATTATATTTTGGTTCTATTTAGTGAAACATAATTCCAAAATTTAATGGAAAATAAATCTGGTTATTATTCACGTGGGGGTTAAATCATGCAGCCATTACCCTGTATTGTACCTGTATCAACCACACGTAACAACACACTACTGAGAGAGAGAGAGAGAGAGAGAGAGTTACAACACTTGTTTATTAGCCAAGTGGGGAGGGCAGGAGGGCACTCATAAACTTATTGAAGACGATGGTTTAAACCTTTGAGGACGATGGTTTAATTCCTCCGAGGACGATGGTTTAATTCTTTGAGGACGATGGTTTTAACCCTTTGATGACGATGGTTTTAACCCTTTGATGACGATGGTTTTAACCCTTTGATGGTTTAACCCTTTGAAGACGGAGTGAGCGATGATAGAATGGTAAGCCACCCTCTCAAGGGTTACCGGGCAGGGGAACACTGCAGCCATTATCCTGGAGAGTGGGAGGGGAGGTGGTGCTGCCATGGAGGGGTGGTGGTGGTAGGGAACGGGGGGGAGAACTGGGAGAGATGGAGAGGGAGGGAGGAAAG